GGGTGGGTGGGTTGGTGAAAGTCCGTGCCGTAGAGAAAGAAAGCGATGGTGGGAGGGAGAAGGGCAGTATTGCAGTTTGCGGAGCGCGCCAGATTCTCATCTCAAAGTTTTTTAAGGACCGGCCGGGGGTGTGGCAGAAGGGTGGAACGAACGCCTCGCCAAACGCTTTGGCAGCCGGGTGGAAGGGGAGGGAAGGAGGAGGGGAATGATCGCGGGGAGAGCTAGGAGGGCCTGCCTACCTTTCCCCCCACGCGGGCCGCGATATGCGTCCAATGAAATCACTCACCTTTCTCTTTTGTTCACAGGACCCGGATGTGCCGCTGTTTCGCCGTTCCGGCTCACTCCACTTCTCCCAGGTAGAATATTCATATCGGTTCTGATATTCACGCACATAAACCGGGAAAAAAGAACACATGTGCGCGCGCGGCCGCAGTTTTCTTTTACCCCTTTTCTCCTTACTCTTTTTTTGAAGAGGGGTGGGGGAGGGTGAAGGGGGCGGGGGCGTAAACATAAAAGAAGGATAAAGCCTTTGTCATTCATCACATCTCTGTTGCTACCGGCTGCTCATCTCGACGTAAAATTCCTCCCTTCGCTTCAAAAGCGTGGCGGACCAGACAGGCTGGCCAGGCATATAAAAGTGTTACAAAATTAACGTTATCGCGTTAACGTTGACCGATTTTCCCGTTAACGCTATCGTTATCGCGTAACGTTTTAGTATTAACGTAAACAACCCTGGTCTAGACAATCACTGTTTCCGATATTGTGTATGATGGGGAAATCATCTGGGTACGTAGCCTACGGGATGTTTCGGGGTTTACAAATACTGTAAAGACATGTATGAGATTTGAGAATTTCTAGAGACTGTATAGATAGTTCACTACTCCCCTGGCTGAGCCTGCGGCACCATCTAATGACAGTTTGCATTAACATGTCATACTCCGTTAGGTAACAATAGAATTAAGTTTTTGTTTGAACTACGATTTTTGAACATCGAGTATTACAGTTGTCGTTACTCAATGTTCTGAATCTTCAATTTCATTTTTAAGCCGGTTTTTCAGAATTCGGTAGTTTGTAAACGTCTTGTGTCTAGTGGATGTTTGACTTTTTCTTAGCAACCCATTAATGTCACTGAATCTTCACCGTAAAATTAAAATGTTCATTTCATAAGTATAACTGAACGGCTTAGACGAACTGGGGCGCACCCGTATTGATGGGTTTAAGACAGAAACTTCACTCAAAAGATCACTATTTCCGCCAAACATTCGTCAATTTTGACTTTAGTTTTATGTCAATATTTGTTAATTGGATTATTTTAATTTACAATGGAGAAAATACTTGGACATTTTAAAATAACATTGTGTTAAAAGTGGCACAAGGCGCGTGCGCGTGCTCTGCCAATGGCTATGCTGCCAGCAGCTCTACCCTCGGCTCTGCCACTGGCTCACCCCTTGGCTCTGCGCGCGGCTCTGCGCGCGGCTTTGCGGCCTGCCCGGTTCTGTCCGAGGGCCTATTCACTGACAGTGTACACCCCTCAAAAGAATCATTAAAAGAAATCATAAAACATTACGAACAAATCAAGACAAACCTGGAAAAAAATCATTTAAAATGCTTTTTAAAAATCAGAAAGACAACAAAGTAGAAAAGAGATCAGATTTTTTAAAAAGGAAAACCTTAAAGATCAGAAGAAAATCAAACAAAAACAGCAAAAGTGGTGTACGCTTGTCTTCATAGTGAAGGACTGCTCGGCTCTACCCCTGGCCCCGTACTGTCCGCGGCACTGACCCCGGCTTTGACCGCGGCTCTACCCCTGGCTTTCCCCTTGGCTCTGCCGCTGGCTCTGCCCCTGGCTCTGCCGCGCGCCTGCCTTGTGCCTTGTGATCAGATCAGTTGCTCTGGCAAACGACCGAAATCGAAAGGTTCTCAGTTCGACTCTCATCAGACGCCTTCGTCTGCTTTTATTTTTCTGGTGTCCTTTCCATGTATTCGTCTCGAGAATGTCTCCAAACTGTCTTTAGAAAATGTTTCGATTCGGTCTTAGCAACGTCTCCAGAACGAGACGCGTTCTCGAGGCTTTCTCGAGACATTTTTTTAATATCATCTTATTGTCTCGATGTTTTCTTGTCAGCGTCTATTGCGCCTTAAAAACAGTCTCAATGCAGTCTCTAGAAATTCTCCCCTGCATCTCAAATGCGTGTTTAAAGTATCTCGGCTCGAGACAGTCAAGATCTATATACTATTTCTGTATGGGAAGAGGCGAGGCATTTTACCCCTGGCTGAGGTATTTACCTCTATCGAATTCACCTCTAAGATATTAATTGTAAAAATGCCGACAAAGTGCCGATAAAAAAACACTAAAAAAATTTAACAGTGTAGAGCAGCAAGTGTGCGTGAGTGGGTCTGTGTATGTGTACCGGGTGTTTCATAAAAAAACACAGGTGCGGGCGGGTTTGCCTACTCCAGGGACTATGGCGTCGTACGGGCAGAGCAAGTAGGCAAACCCGTCCGCACCTGTGTCTTTTATTAAACACCCGGTACGTGTGTGAATACTTTCGTGGCCGGCCAGTGCTTCAAAAATTGTGTTGGTGATGTGTGTGTGAGTTTACTATGTGTCCGGCAACGTTAATTCGTTTTTGTGACCTATTTAGTGAGACAATTTTATTTGCTGTTTACCGAAAATATCATGAAAATAGTTGTGACGTTTGGTTGCGGTATACCCGCGCGTGAAAGTGTTATATCCTTCAATGTGCTCGGTACGTGACGGGTACGCGTGTCATCTCTCGGGCACAAAGGAAGGCGCTGCGTAATTCAATCCCTTTCAAGCCCGGGGCCGAGGCCGCGCTGGAGGCCGAGGCCGCCGCGCCGCAGAGCGGCCTGATCTTCCCCCCTTCTCCCAGCACAACTCGACCGCGACCGCCCCAGCGGCGCGGGCACGAGCGAGCGGAGCAGGGGGGAGCGAGGGGAAGAGCGGGAAGATGCCGAATACTGCTTTGATCATCGACTCGACTTTGAATGATGAACTGCTGCTGCTGCGACCCACCACCGCCGCCCGCCCGAGTCTCGCGTCTTCCACTTCCCCGTTGTCGGCGGCGCCCCCCCCCCTCCCCAAT